CTAGACTTTGGACCCCCCTTCCCTCCCCGCTCCTGCCCTGTATTCTTGTTCAACTTGGCTAGCGAAAGACTAAAGAGATTCAGCTTACGTAATTAAGGGAGAACGCCATAGTTTTTGCACTTTTCACTCGTTGTTAGGTCAGACGCCTACGATGTCATCAGTAGTAGCACTTTCCTTGAAATCCTCTCGAAAAGCTCAGAATTTCGATTTGAATCGGCCGCTCCCGCTGGAGAGACCTCATTGAACTTTCTGTTTACCACTATGAAAACAATATAGTTGATTTGCCTGTCTTTTTCTACGTTTGCGTTCTGCAGTGTTTGCAACACTCAATGTCAAAATGTGTATGTGATGCATGTTAGGAAAGCTTGACACAATATGCTCAGGCAGAAATATAAGCAAATATCAGGCTGTTATCCCGCGAATTCAATGAAACTTTATGTTACGGCTTTGATTTATTCCCTATCGCGTTCACCACGATGGAGCTTTTTGAGGCGCCCTTTGACCTTGGGAATGGGGAGCATCACGTGGTCCACAGCGACGCACTAGTTTAAACATAAACCAATGTGCATCGCGGTAAAAGCCCTTGTCAACCGTTCGGCCAATCGCAAACGTTCTGCTAGGAGAGGTGCCACGATGGTTGTCATGGCCACGGTGGTTACGACTGCAGATAATGGCGCAAAGAGCTGTTACAAAGCGCTGATAAGGTAATCTGGACTCATATATGGTTAAATCATTATCCTTATTGTGCCTTGAAGGTGCTGTAGCGGTAGCACTCAGTGCTATTTCTAGACGTAACTGGTCCTGAGGTTTCACTAGAGCATGCTTTTGAAATCCGTCCCAAAGGTGGGACGCTCTTTTTAACATCAGCAAACATGCTCGAATATGAGTGCAGGAGTCCGAAACATCGCTATGTTGCGCTATTGTCATCGTGGCACCCTAATAATGGTTTGCTGAATCGAGTAAACGTGCTCAGTTTGCCATTATGTCCATTTGGCTTTGCCAGCATCGTTTGCCGCATGACTCATACCAAAAACAGTGCTTGATGGTTATCAGTGCACTTTAGCAACAGGTGTGGAGCATGGAAATTACATAGGATGATTTTTTTGCAATGCTCCACTCAACGTGCAGTGGCTGGTTTTTCCACAAATGTTGTACAGTGACATAAAAATATGCACCTCCCCCCCACGCCCGTTGAGATAGCTGGTCATAGACAGCAGCTAGAAATTGTCACTGGACATCAACATCAACCAGTGATGGCATCCAGGCAGTAAATCAATACAATGTTTTGTTTGGAATGCTTTGAGCCTCATTGGTACTAATAATATACTTATTGCCTTCTTCCAGTTTTACGGCTCTTCAACTTTGTAAGTGAAAAGCTGCAGAGTTCCGGCGAAACAATTAAGAACAGCAAGCATTTTGCACCATGAATGTAGGAATTCAGAGTCTCACTATGCTGTACTTTCACGACTTTGACAGCATGGGAAGCCTTAAAACGGACTGTTGAATCGTTTTACCGCTTGGATGCTGTGCATGATTGACATTCATGTCAAATGACAAGCCTTGATATGCATATTGTCATGATGATAACCTGACTGCCCTCTTTGACCAGCCGCTTCAACGTAGGATGTATATGTTGTTCTGATTGTTGATGGTTGTTATTCTGTAATCATTATGTAATGTTCTGAGAAAAAAAACTACGGCAAGTTAGGTGGTACATTGTAAACATCTTGGTAAACATCCTATACAATTTTAATTCCCCATGCATGGCTCAAGTGCTCTGATATTTATCGAATACAGTTTTGATGTGTTGAATACAGTTTACAATACAGTTTTGACACCGTGGAGGATATGACATTCTGTACGGGCAAACCAAAAGGACGCAATAGGAAAATGAGAACATTTACTCAATTCAGCGGACAGTTTGAACATTCGTGCGCAATTATGGCAACGGCACAGTATAGCGGTGTTTGGAACTCCTACACTTTTGTTTTAGAACGATGGCCGTTCCTATTAACATTAGCTGAACCCCTCCAGTTTTTTGCTCCCAGGCTGAAACAAATTCCCTAATATAGGTAGCATATTATTATAGGTAAACTAATAACAAATAACAAAAATAATAATAAAATAGGTAGGAGTAGACATTTGAAGGATGTTCGACATTTGAATGGGTTAAAGCCCCAATGCAATGGAAATTGTGTTTAAAAAACATACACTGAAATAGCCATTTCAAAGATCATTTGGTGCAGTTTACAGCCCTGCCCTTATTAATAACGAAGATCCCGCAGTTTATGAGCCAGACGCCCGCGAGGCTGTACAGAATGGTTGTAATGAGGCTGTACAGACCGCGAGGCTGTACAGCCCGTTTGGTGCAGACTTCTTCAAGGCCGTTCGGGTATGCAGGACGCCATAGCAACGCCATTGAAATGCTGCCACCCAATAAGCTATGCGCCGTTTAAGGCCAAGAACAATATTATCGCCGAGCCACTCAGATCTGAATCGAAAAACTGGTGACGTAACCGAGATGTGAATACAAGTAAGCTTCTTCAACTCACGGATAGCCATGCAAGAACACCACGAGAAAGCGTCAAGACACGAACGCATAACGACATTTGCCTCAGCGAGCACTTCCCTCATGTGAGTGCTGCATGTGAGTGCTAAGGTGGCAATTTTGCACGGTTAGGTTGGCATTGCCTCACTGCCATGCAAACATTCCACGAACGAAGATGAAGCCAATCACGACCAATCACGTCCACCGCTTTCTGCCTGGTTGACCAATGGCAGTGCTAACTCTCGCGAAACCTTTGCACAATCTTCTGCTTCTCATGCACTTCCTGTTTGCTGAATGCTGTCGGCTCAGGTTCATTGGCCGATGGGGGTGTGGTGTTCTCGTGACGTATTCATGACGTCATGCAAATATGTGGCAGGCCAGAACCCCATAGGTCGCACAAGCTCACTGGTGTCACGCTCAGACGCTGGAGGCTGTGAGCCTGAAAAGTGAGCCCCGTCAATCAGCGAAGTATTAGCCTCGCCTCTCACGGGCCCATCATTTCAGCTTGTTACTGTTCTTGTTTGTCTGGAGGCCTAAAGACGCGCAATTCTATTGTGCTTTGTGTTGAAAAACTGCGTCCGTTTGACCGGTATGGGCCCGAAAAGGCCCATACCGGTCAAATACCATGGGTCTCCTGGGGACACAAGGGGGCATGATCCCGCGCCTCCCAAATAAGAAATACCCAAGACACAATGCGGAGGGCTCCCGAGCGATTGAGTGTGCCCAATCAGGCAATCAGAAGGGGCCCCAACAAGAGCATAGGGCCCTCCAGTGAAATAAGAAGTACCCAAGACCCAGTGGGGGGGGCACCCGAAAGATGGAGTGTACCTGAGCAGGCCATCAGATGACCCCGACACGAGCGTAGGGCTCTACATTAAGATATCAGAATCCGATGTGTAGGGCCCGCGAATAATTCAGTATGCCAGGCAAGTTAGCAAATGCCCCCCCCCCCGCGACAAGTACGTAGGGTCTCCATCTAAATGGAAAGTACCCAAGAACCAATTTGCAAGGCCCTAATGACCGGGTGTGCCGAAACAGGTTGACAGATGGGCCCCCGGCAAGAGCGCGGGGGCCTAAGCAAATGCCGGAGAATTGAAAGACCCCTAGACCAATGTAGAGGCCCATGAGCACATCGCGAGTTTGACGGTAAGTTAGCCGAGACCAATGTGAAGAGCCCCTGAACAGCCGAGAATACCCCGGCAAGATGACATATGGGGCGCTCAGCCATAGCGTATGGAATCTTTCGGGCGAATGGAAAGAATCCGTGGAAGGCCCCACATTGACAAGAGCCCCCCGGCACGCTAGCAGGAAGGGTCCAGCAACAGCGCAAGGCTCTCCTACCACATGCAAAAATTGAGGCTAACCTGAAAGGCTCCTTAACGATCAGATCGGCCTCGCAAGTGGACATAAAGAGCCCCGGAAACAGCGTAGGGCCTCTGGGCAGCGTACTGAGCTTTAAAGTCTTCCAGTCATCACCCTCTTTATCAGCGAAGAAATACTTTTTATCTTCTCGCGGACCCTTAACTTTCGCTTGCTGGCTGCTGTTTGTTCTTGGTTGATCTGGCGGCCCAAAGACGTCCAATTTTTGTCTCGTTTTGTTCCAAAAAATTATGTCTGTTCGGCCGACCATGGGGCCCCTTTGGAACCTACGGGCCCCTTCGTAGCTCAAGAAGGGAGGCATGGCCCTGTGCCTTCTCCCTCTCTTGACACACCCCTGGCGGCGTCACCTGCATCAGACCGGTCCTATGACGGCGAAACGGTTAAGCACAAGCAGCTGCACGCCATCGATTCCAATAGCTATAAATCCAGATAAGTAACTCATAGCCATTGAAAGCTCGGGTAAGGTCGTGGAGTGTAAAACCAGTCCGGCTGTGCTTACGCACGGTGATCTGGGAGAAAGAGGTGGGTTCCCATGGCTGCCCGCCCCGGCCGGGCGGCATTTTTGGACCAATTGATGGGAAGTGACGGTTACAATCGTGAGCCGCGTCCGACGGAATTACCCCGTCAGAGCCCTCCCCCCCCCCCCCTCCCCCTCCAGCGGGTGGAAGTCCAAACTTACAGATAGTGCGCCTGAGATAGTTCCTGTCGGATATCACACTGGCGCCTAGAAAGCCATATTTGGCCTGAGCATGAAAAAGCCATATTTGGCCTGCGCACGACAACCCGGACTTGCGCCACGCAACGCCCCGCCCCGCAGAGTGGCCAGCAGCGCGCCCAGGCACACCCGCATGGCAGGCAGCGGCACCCGCAGCCGATTATGGCTCCCAGGCTGTCGCGTGACTTTGCAGAAACAGTGGCATCTGCACGACGTTTCTGGTGGTTGACCATGTCCGGTAGTTGGAGGAGCGGGCCGGGGCTGTCCTCGATCCGCCTCTGACGCGTGAGTCAGCGGCGCGAGCTGGCGTTGTCCCACGGCAGGTACGTGAAGATCAGTTGGCCGGGATAGGCCAGTCGCGTGTGGTTCACGCACGAGTTGCTCCCAGCGAAGGCGGAGTGCTGTGGCGACAGGAGGCGTCATGTTGGGCTTCTTGCTGAGTGCGCTGCGCTGGGTGGCGTCGGTTATCTTCAGCCCGACGACGCTGGGTCTGTTCGCTCTGCTGTTGACTGCCGCGTACCTCTACCTGTCCAGACACAAGAACTACTGGAAGGACCGCGGCGTCGCCCACCTTCCGTACCGATTTCCGTTCGGCCGCATAGGCTTTGAGATCTTCACGGCGTCGTTCGCGGAAGATGTGAAGAAGCTGCACGAGAAGACAAAGCAGGCAGGGGGGTATCTCCCGATGCTCGATGTGTTTGACCCCGCTTTGTCGGTATCTGATTTGGAGCTGATAAAAGCTATTTTGGTGAAAGACTTCGATCACTTCACCACCAGGGAACCGAGTTCTTTCATGTCAAAGTATGGCATCTTCTCCAAGATGATGACTACTCTATCTGGCCAGGACTGGAAAGATGTGAGAAATATCTCCACGCCCGCCTTTTCAACAGGCAAGATACGGCAAATGTGCCAGCCTTGCGAAGAACAGGCCGAGCTTCTAGCTGAACAACTGTACAAAGAATCGAAGGATATTGACGAAATCGACGTGAAGGCGATCATGGCACGGTACACAATGGATAGCATCGTCTCCGTAGCGTTTGGACTGGACGCCGACTCGATTCGAAATCCTGACTCTGTCATCGCGACGAAGGCGGCCCAGTTGGGCAATCTAAAGTCGGCGGGTCGGTTTGTGTTGTTCTTCCTAGTGATCGCCTTGCCGGAATTCATCAGCAGACATTTTAACCTTGACAAAATTGTGGGAAACGAAGGGACGGAGTATTTCTACGGCATGGCCAAGCAGTCTATGCGCCAGCGGCTGGAGCACCCGGAGCAGCGGCGCGGCGACTACCTGCAGATGCTGCTCGACACGCGGCAGGAAGAGGGCCAACGGCGCCGCCTAACTGATGACGAGATCATCGCCCAGTGTCTGCTCTTCTACTTCGCCGGATACGACACCACGTCCAACGCGCTCGCCTGGACTGCACGACTGCTGGCCTTCAATCCGCGCCAACAGGAGCGCCTGCAGGCCGAGATCGACAGCAAGCTGACGTCTGAGGAGGACTGCATCACCTTCGACATGGTCAACAGCATGCCGTTCCTGGCCAACGTGCTGTCCGAGTCCCTGCGGCTCTACCCGGCCATGCAGCTCTCGCGCTGCTGCACGAAGCCTTACCGTGTTCCCGGCACAGACATCGTCCTGCCTGAGAACTCCATGGTCTACATGAGCCCTTACGGCATCCAGCGCGACCCCGACCTGTACCCGGACCCGGACGCGTTCGACCCCGACCGCTTCTTGCCCGAGGCCAAGGCGGACCGGCACGCGTACGCGTGGCTGCCGTTCGGCCAGGGGCCGCGCAACTGCATCGGCATGCGTTTCGCGCTGCTGCAGGCCAAGCTGGCGCTGGTGGCGATCCTGCGGCGCTACTCGTTCGTTCCCGGAGCCAAGTCGGGCGATGTCGTGCCGGAGATAGATGCCGCACCCGGTCAGCTCAAGGAGAAGGGCGGGACCTGGCTGAAGGTGGTGAAGCGTGGGTAGAAGGCCTGTGACTTCCGGACCGCCAATCCTCAGTGGAAGTGCGGTGGGCGTGGTGTCTGGATGCATGTTCGCGGGGCAAGTTACTCGTCAGCTGTTAAGTGGTGTTGCTGTCGATTGGCGCGGCTTGCCAAAACTGCGTGTCGGTGCTTGTACCGGTGATTTCCTCCGTTGATCTGTTACGAGTGATTCCGCGTTCCCAATGTTTCAAGCTGACTGGCCCGGCCCGGTCCACCCCGAACGTTTTTAAAATATTTATATTTTTGTCGATCGGTGATCACAAGTTGATGCGAACATCTGCCACATGCGGCACATTCCTGGGAAGAGGTGCTCTTTTTTAAAGGATTGTTCTGCGCTTGAAAACATTGAAGCGAGCATCAGATATGATGAAATAAGCTTTCTTATAGCTGTTAGTGTACCCCAAGAGGAAAAACTCCTCTATACAGCACAGTTTATCTATTTAGTAGATATGCTCCTTGATATGCTATTGTTTGATTGCGTCGTCGTACTACACACAACATTGACTGGGAGCCAATGGACGGCCGTTATGTCTGAAATCGTGGTCACGAACGCCACGGCTCGACAATTGTATTTGTCTTGGCTTCGATCGCCGCATGGTCAATGATGGCAAGATTTGAATGACGCTATTATGTCGTCTTGGATGTATGGTTGACCTTGAATTAGTCTGCATGAAATAGGCTGCAAACCTTCGCGAGCGTGCCGCTCAGAACCTACAGGGTTTAGGCCTGGGAAAGGGCAGTGCTGTGATTTGCACCAAATGATACTCAATATGGCTGTTTCAGTGCAAACTTTCATACTAATGGGGAATACTCCCTTTAATGCATCTCCATACGCGCTATGCGACCAGATGTACTTTTATGCTTCGCACCGCAATGTGGACCAAATGTTGCTCGCCTTCCCTATTCGATTGACATGAAATAAACTCCGCGCATTACACCAAAAGTTTCACAACACGCATGGATTCAAACTGGGCCCGGGTGCAGGCTATCGGACGTCACAACGAAGCAGCACCTAAAGGTAAGCTTACAGACACAGGCCTTGAATGGAATGTTTCAAATTTGGAGATATCGAAACCAACATCAGATATCATGAAACAAGCCGATTTATAACTACTGGTATACTTTTAAGTAGAAAGGCTGATCTAGATAACAGAATTTCTGTTTAGTAGAATTGCTACGAGATACGTCATTGTTTGATTACGTCATTGTGCCTTGCACAACAATGATCGAGAGCCAATTGACGGCCGTTATATATGGAAATCGTGCTCACGAACGTCAGATATGAATGACACGACCATTTTTTCGCGGCGTTGATGGCCACATGGCTCATGTAATGGCAGGACTTGAATAACGTTATTATGCCGTTATGAATGCCAAGGTGACCCTGAAATGCTCTGTCCGGGAAAGTCTCCGCATTTTGGCGGGTGTGCAACTGAGAAACTAGAGCGTTTAAGGTCTTCAAATGCAGGGCAGTGCTGTGAACTGCTGAACTGAACTGCTGAACTGAAATCGATGCTCGCCTTCCCATCGTAAGTTACTAGTCACACAGGCTAAGGAATGTGTGGTACTGTACCCGATGAAGGTTTCTACGGCGCGTTTGAAAGGGGATACTTTTTGATACATCTTTCTTTCAACAGGTGGTTTGTGTTTTTAGATCAAATGGCATTGAAAAAGGGAGCAATAATCAAGTTCAGACGCATGGAAATTTATAACACAACGGAATGATTTCGCCTTTTCCAAAACAAGTTATCGACGTTTTTTCCTCGTCCGTCCAATCTCCATATTTGACTTTAGAAATCTTTGGAATTCTGGAAATTGGGAATCCATTTGGCACCTCTAGAACTAACAGCTCAAAAGCGGCGTTTCCAGCTATTCCGAAACAGCTGGCGTCCGCAGAAACTACACCAGTCAGCTTTTCCCAGCTAGAGATGCCACGTTTGAGCTCTTCTTGAATGCGTTTTTTGTATGCGTTTGAGCCCGTCTTGGGAGATTTTTTGCTTCGGGCTGAAAAGCGGCACCTCTAGCGCGCAACAGCTAACGGTTGCAGAGCATGCAGGGGACTGTACAGCCAGCCGAAGTGTGAGCGCGCCCAGACACCGCTTGGCGGAGAACAGGAGCATTTTATGCGTGACAGTGAGGTTGAGTGTGTACAAAGCAGTTGATGAAAGCCAGAGCAAATATGACGTGAAACCAACCATGTTTTGTGGACGAGGCGCCACTAGTCCAGCTGCATGACCATTTGTAGTCGACGCGTCCTAAAACTCTTTCAGTAGTCCAAAGGGAATTCGATATTCCCACAATGCTGCACATTTCAAAACCAGTTGCGCATTAGCACGCGCTCGGGTGGGGGTGGGGGGTCAAATTGGCCCCGAAGATTTTTTCAGAATGGTTTCCGAACGGCGTGGTGTAGCCGCGTCAAATTTGGCAGAGCTGTAGACAATTGAATAGGGGATTGTTTAGCACCAACAATTTATCACCCCGATATTGGGTTCTTACCATCTGCTGGGGGCCTTTTGCCGTTTTCTGGTCCATAGCGAGACTTTCCCTGCTCAGGGGGTTTCCCTGCCCTATCAGTCGCGGCTTTTCAGCGTGCTCCTGGAATCGTGCTTCAGCCCTGCGCGTTAATCTGCCGGAGCACTATCGATCGGCAGGGATCTATAACACTGGTCTACACTGGTCTTAGATCCATCTCGTTTCTACGGAGGCCTGGCGCTGTTGGCAGTGTTTACCCTCGCGTCGAGCTGTCCTGACATTCTCGATCGCTCAGATGTCGTTCAGCTTGGTCTTGGGGTTTTTCAATGTTCTTGGAGAGACTATGCCGTTTACCGCAGTTTTGTTGCTGTTCGCCGTTCGCGATTATTGGATTACTGGGAACGAATTGGCAGTCGGATGCAGCAGCACTAGCGAATGAGAGCCCACCATTACATTAATTCTGGTAGCAAATGTCAGTAAGCGTTCACTATAAAAGGAGTATGCCATTTTCGTTTTTGTAATTTCCACATGTTGTTAGATCAAACACAGCATCCAACTAAATCGGGAATTACAGATGCCTCCAGTTTGATTTGAGAAAAAAACTGGTAATTTTTAGTTAAAATAGCTACTTTGGTGAGAGCAATCTCAGTAAATTCCCTCCTCACACTACGAAAGAAATTCCTTTCGGTTGCCTTGCTTTTCAAACGCGTGTGTTCTATTATGATCTCAACGCACTAATTCGTCAGTGTTTGTGCAGTTGATGGTACGAAAGTTTGATACACGCTTTAGAAAGAAGATATACAAATATGAGGCTGTTCAACGAAATATTATATAACGACTATGATTTTCCCCTGTGACATTTAGCGTCACGACTCTTTTTTGTGGTATGGCTGTAGAGATGCCGCAGGCCCGCGCGCCCGCAATGTGCAAGATAAAACAGCTCAAAGGCACCTTCAGTCCGTAACAGCTGATGATGGCCCATAACCGGTTCTCCCGTCGCCATGGCGACGACAGCCGCGACGATTGCAGCTGTCGCGGTTGTCGGTTGCCTTCGAGGGCTGAAAGGGCACAATTAGGTCTGTGAACATGTCCCGAAATCCAGAACGACGCCCAGAAACTATATAGCGTTCCAAACACTGGGTGCCCCGCCCCCCGTCCCGCCCCAGCTCTCGCTAGACTCACCCGTTGTTTGCCCGGCAGAAATAATTAAAACTTTATATACAATAAAGGAGTTATTCAAAAACTTAAGAAGCGCGAAACCAGGGCCAAAAACCATTAGTTCAAAAATCACAAACCGACAGGTGTAGTGGAATTTGGAGCATAGCGATGTTTTATGAAACCAGGCTAAATTTTGCCGTCTGGTGGAAGTGATTGGAATCACAGCATATCATTAGAGCCCTGCAGAGTGATTGCGGCAAGGTATAACTATTACGAAGAGATTTTTCCAGACTGTCGTCCCCGTCTTCAATGCCAGTATTTAGGTAAGAGTAGGGGTTCCGGGACGAGGTGACCCCGAAGGGCTCAATGTGATCCATTTCTGCATTTGAGAAACACCTCTATTAAACTTAATCTACAAAAAATACTTAATTTTCATCCCCACGTGTCCCCCTCCCCTCTTTTCTGTGCTTATTACCCGGTTGGTGAAGCTAGATGTGAAAATATCATTTTTTTCTTTGTTAACTTGGTACGAAATGGCATTTTAAACATTGCCTGCAGTCCTCCATATTTGACTGTTGTTCAATCCGAAAAGGTCAGCTTTGCACAATAACTGAATGCGATGTATTTCATGTTCACAAAATTACAAAGAGAATGCTCAAGGAGAAATGGAATCACTATCTAGGTAAAAGCAAGAAGGGATAAACCAATGGCTCGTGCTGATATAACTTCGAAATAATAAAACAACTTCGAATCCAAAAATGCTTAGGTTATCCAAGATGCAACTTTCTCGACTTTGCAAGCAGCCTACCGTCATCCAAAATGGTGATATGTGGGTTACTGGGTGCGTTGACTACCTCGATCACTTTGCGCCCGGAGCAGTGTCAAGTACTGCATGGCGCTGTCTTCAGTCAGCGGGTGGCGAGCGCTCGTGCTGCTCTTGCGCAGCGTCGGGTGCTGCCCTCCACCATGAGTGCCGATGCTGGCCGACAGACGACGCCCTTGTAGTACTTTGAATAATCTGCACGAAATTGCCTGGCCATCCTCGCGGGCGTCTAGCTTATAAACTGGAGAGTTTCAGGTTTTACGAAGGGAGTGACATGCACCGAATGATCTCCGAAATGTCTACGTGAGTTGAAAACTCCGTACAAATGTGTAACACATTAGTACACAATGTTATGTTAATTAATGTTAATGTTAATTAATGTTGCACATTCCCTTGAACAGGCACAGGCTGTTCTCCTTTCCTGTGTTTTCTTCTTTGCTTTGCTTGGTCCAGCGCGATTTATTGACTGATCTTGACACGGCACCCATGTCCAGTTGGCCAAGGCCCCTCTCATCCTGGGAGGACACAGGATGCATGGTGCGGGGGAGAACGATGTCAGACCTTCCAAAGAGGACTGGCTCGCTGGGCGTGTCCTGCCAGATGGTGCTGAGGCACAGTGGCGAGGTGTGCTGGGCCCTCGACGTTTCGAGAGGCCGTCCGCGACTCCGCGAGACCGGGTGGGTCGCCAGCGAGGCGCCGGCCGGGGTGGCGCTCGGAAGGAGACACTGGCGTCGCCTGTCGGCCGGCATCGGCACTCGCGGCAGAGGGCAGCACCCGACGATGCGCGAGGGCGGCGCGGGAATTTGCGACGCACCGACAGAGGGCAGCACCGTGCGGAGAGGACGGACCAGGGAGCCCGCGCGCATTGCCAGACAAGTAGCGAGACCGGGTGGCGCGCTCGCAAAGGACTTGGAACACACTGAAGCTGCGTGTGGACGCGAGATCAGTCTTGCGTGGGTCGGGGCATGTCGTTAAGGGGACTTATCTGTCGCCCCGTTTTTTTTTTGTTTTTTTAATTGAGTCCGTCACATTGTCGTTGCCTGCTCGCCAGCCTTCCTCAGTTCTATTTCGTCGTCTCGTTGTCGGACACGGGCGTCTCCGCGAGCGATTTGCACCGTTTACGCGGCATAGCTGGTTGGTGACCTTTGTTGGCCCGCTGGTTTCGCAAGAAGTGCGTATGTAGTTCCCGAGCCAGAGGGACTGCCGTTCGAATCCAGGGCGGGGCCGAATCCTTTCAATGACCACAGACTACGAACGGACAGGCCAAGACTTGTGATGGCGATGGCAGAACCTTTATATCTTTGATCATGGGGCGCTTCTTAAGGTGCGTGGTGTTGCAATACTGACGTGGTATGGCCTCCCAGTCGGCGTTAATAACTGACCGAACGGGCAGCCATGCGGAGTAACTGATTTGAAATGGCCAGGGTTAAATTCCACCAGACGGGCATACTTCTATTTCATGCACATCAT